TAACCAAAGTCAAGAAATGTTTTTCTTTGCAGAACAATCACGTGTTATATGTAAATAAAAGACTGCAAAGAGAACGAAAATCCATTCGAAAATGAATAGAGGTTCCTATTGAATGCAATTCAAGGAAAGCGTGATTTATCATCGAGGCAGCAATCTGAAAAGCTGTGCTGTTGGATTGCGAACGGTCACCAACATTTTCGGTGTCTACAACGAATTCGGGCAGTTCCACTTTAATTGCTCGTGGTCGTAAGACCATCAATTGGTGTGCTGGATTCGTCGAGCGTAGAACAATTAAAACCCGAAATTGATAGTCTCGACACGGATCCGGTATTGTGAATGTGACTTCTGGTCTTACTGACGCACCCTAAACAACTAAACGTTACAAATTGTATCAATGATATCATAGTGAGGTCCGATTAGAAATGGTCCCACTTAATATGTTAACAATCAACGATACGCACAGGTTCTATTCCCGAATCACATAAGTGATAAACGATTGTTGCCTGATAAGAGTAATCTATCACCAATTTTTTAACTGAACTTTTTTGTATTTCATCTCCTAATTTATTTGCACAATCAGCATTTTTGAGCTCCAGATCAAACTGTAAATCGTGCTTTATTACCGCAAACATCCAATCATCTGGCGATGTGCTCATTGTCGAGAACTCAAATATGTACGCAAACGCCTTCGGATTATCGGCCATCGCAATATGAATAGTTTGAGAATTCAGATATTCCGTCCGCACGGGTAGCACATCCTCGACTGTATCGGCTAAAATCTAGTAATGGTCATTTTGCCTGCATCATCATTGGCATCGATTAAAATTCGACGAATTCATCACTGAAGATTGATATTTTCAGATAAAACACTGATTTCTTGATTTCACTGGTGAGAAAATTCGTTGAATAATTTTATTTTAGCACCTTGTTCAAGAGTACCGTATAAAATCAAAATGATTCTTCAACTAAAGATTGTTTCCCTGGAGAAACAACATTGCAAACAATCGCCTTTTTCAGTGACCCGAAAGAATAGAGCCGAATTGAAGTTTTTCGCTAGAACTTTCATGGCAAGCTATTTGTTTCACATTGCAAAAATCAAATAGA